TTCATGAGAAAGTCTGTACAGGCATTTTTCAGTCGCCCCCTATTGAAATGATTATAGAGACATTTACCCAATCCTGTCTTCCTGACTCACAACTTCCTGAAGGCTGTGATTTGCTTTTTCAGTTGAAATATCCTGGTGGTTGTTCCAAACTTTATGTTTTAAGAATAAGAAAACCAATTATGTTATTTCAGCAAAAAAAAAAAAAAAAAATGAACATGATCCTAGAGGCTCAATGTTTAAAATCTCAATCTTTCTTTTCCATTGCAATCAATATAAATCATCCTTCGAAAAAACAAAAAAGGATGATCACAGAAAACACTCACATTTACATTTGAAATTGTGTGTGTGTGTTAATGTTGCAGGAATGTGGTTGATGGTTCATGGGAGGCAGCGCAGAATCAAACAGCTTCACCCCTCGTTGGTTCTGGTGCTCTGTGAAGGTGAGGATGCTTAGCGTCTCTGCGCCCCGTTTCTTTGTCCCTGGCTCTCAGATGGTTTTGTGAGTAGCATCATACTTAGAGCTTTACAGCAGTTCCCGGCATCCAAGCGTTCCACATTTTCATTGTCGCCCTTCCCATCCAGTGACAGTGAAGGTCTCACTAAGAAAATCCAGGTGTCATTTAGAGTGTGTTACTCCTTAGCATGCTTTATTCTATACATCTGTATTTTAATTCAACAAACATGTCATCCAAGCCACTATAAATAAACAGGCAAGAGCATAAGCTTTGAAGAGAAAGTATTATTTGGATATTTATCAAATTTAGAAGTTTAATTTACAACTATCATTATGAATTTGAATTTAATGTATTTTGGTCATTTAAATTTTATTATTTACAGTGATCTGAATGATACCCCAATCTTTGCCTACGTGTCCTAGTACAATTGTTTTAGCTACTCTAATATTTTATGAGATTGGCACATACCACCACAAGATAATCTTTATAGAAAAACCTCGGGACAGAGGAAAAACATCATGTTGCTCACATAAGATTTTATATCAATAATATGCTATAAATATTATGGCATATTCTACTTTACACGGTACTTTTAAACACATTTGATTTGGTACAACTCCATGAAGGTGGCTATCCCAAATTAACATATAAGGTAATGGAGACACAGAGAACTTACCCAGGACTTTCCAGGTCACGCAGTTAAAAGTAAACTCTGGGCTCTCAATTCTGTTTCATTGGTCTGTGTGTCTGTTTTCCTGCCAATACCATGCTAAAAAGCTTCTGCACAGCAAAAGAAACCACCAACAAAACAAAAAGGCAACCAACCAAATGGGAGAAGATATTTGCAAACAACAGCTCTGACAAGAGTTTCACATCCAAAATATGCAAAGAACTCATACAACTCAACAACAAACAAACAATCCAATTAAAAAATGGGCAGAGGACCTGAACAGATACTTCTCCTAAGAAGACATACAAGTGGCCAACAGATATATGAAAAGATGCTCAACTTCACTATTAGGGAAATGAAAATCAACATTACAATGAGCTCTGGCCGGTTTGGCTCAGTGGTTGGAGCATCAGCATGTGGACCAGAGAGTCCTGGGTTTGGTTCCTGCTAGGAGCATGTACCAAAAACAAAACAAAACAAAACAAAAAACCCACAATGAGATACCACCTCACTCCTATTAGAATAGTTATTATCAACAAGACAAATAATAACAAGTGTTGGAGAGATTGTGGAAAAAAAGGAACCCTCATTTGCTGCTGGTAGGAATGTACACTGGTACAGCCACTATGAAAAAAAGTAGGGAGATTCCTTAAAAAATTAAGAATACAGTTATAATATGACCCAGCAACTCCTCTTCTGGATATCTACCTGAAAAATTTGAAAACAATTTTTTGTAAAGACATATGCACCCCTATGTTTATTGCAGCATTACTTATAGTGGCCAAGACATGGAAACAACCGAAGTTTCCTTCAATAGATAATTGGATAAAGATGTGGTACATATACAAAGTAGAATACTACTCAGCCATAAGAAAAGATCAAATACTGCCATTGTGACAACATGGATGGACCTTGAGAAATAAGTCAAACAGGAAACACTAGAACCACGTGATTTCACTCATATGCAAGATATAAAACTGAAAGCACCAAATGAACAAACAAGAAAAGTAAACAAAAACTCATAGACACAGACAACAGTATGGTGGTTACCAAAGGGTAAAGGGGGTCAAATATATGCCAATGGAAGATGATTTGACTTTGGGTGGTGCAATGTACAGATCATGTATCATAGAAATGCACACTTGAAACTTATATTAATGTCACCCCAATACATTTTTAAAAAGTAAACTCTGGTTCTTAAAGGCTTTGGTTCTAAAATGAGTTTTGAAAGAAGTCTACCACCACCATCATACCTCACTGGCTGTAGGAGTCCTAAGTCCTGTGGGCTATAGAAACCTAAGGTATCCATTTGCAACAACTGAAAGGAAATGTATAAATAGGAGCAATGGAGGGGTCCGCAAGTCAAATGGGCACTCCCCCAACCACTGGTTCCCAAAAAACAAGCCATCTCCTGGGGCTGTCCTCCTGCTTCTGGAAGATGTATGGGTACATTGATTCATCCATTAAAGAAATATTACATAGCATTTTTGATGTGTCATTCACTGTTTGAGCTACAAAAAATGCAGCCATGAACAAGACAGACTCATCTCTTGCCCTGATACACTTGAAATAACTAGTGGTGAAGATGAAAACCGCAGGCAATTCCACACAAGGTGGCAAGTGCAACGATGAGTAGTCCAGGGTGCTAAAAGGAAACTACGAGAACAGGTTACCAACCCTGACCAGGGCATTTGGAGGAAGTGATCTAAGTAGAGACATAAACAAGAAGGCATTAGTCAACTAAAATAGTAAGTAGGGAAGAGGGGGAAGAAGGCACAGCATGTGCAAAGACCCAGAGGCTAGGGGGAGTGTGATGAATTTGAGGAACTGGAAATGTTATATGGGTGAATTGTGAAAGCTGAGATCCTTACCAGTCACAAAAAGGAGTCTAGACTTTATCTTGACAATGGAAGGGGCCAACGAAGGGTTTTAAACAGAGGACTGCTGTACAAAGATCAAGATAACTGTTGAAGTAATTTAGCTGAATGATGATAGGATGGTCTAAACTAGGTAGTGACGGGGAAAGTATGAAAATGGATGCAAGAGAGCCTTAGAATGTATACTTGTAGACCTGATGATTGGTTGTCTGTGGGTGGTAAGAGGAAGGGAAGAAACAAAGTACAAATCCAATAGGATGAGGGCTCCCAAATTCTTCAGCCCCAAGTGCCTGCAGGGAAGTAAGGCACAGACATTAGGGCCTCCTCTCTGCTTACCTCTTCCTTCGGATCTCCTCCTGCTCCTAGACACAATTGAAGTTTCTCTTTTTTATATGGAGGAAACCATACTTTATTTCGTTCTGAGAATTGCATACTGCTTCCTTAAGCTATATTCATGAAACTGTAATCCAACCAACTTCAAGATATTGCTTTATTCCTTCACAACACAAAGAGAATTTAGAAAGATAAATATCTAGCATATGAAGGATACAGATCATTAAAATATATAAAACAGGTTGTGAACTCTGATGAAGAAGACACCTACGAAGAAGGGCTCCTGGTGGCTAACTGGGCTTAAATTTTGTAAAAGAGTCCAGCAGCCATTTCTTTTTTTTTTTTTATCCTCCCCGAGGATATTTTTTTTCCATTTTTTGTACAGATAGAGAGGGAGGGAGAGAGAGGAAGGGAGAGAGAGAGAAACATCGATGTGAAGGGACACATCGAGTGGCTGCCACCCGCACGACCAACCAGGGCCGGGGACAAAGTGCAACTGAAGTACGTGCCCTTAGCGGGAACCGAACCCGGGTCTCTCTGTACCCAAGGCCGACGCTCTAACCGCTGAGCCAAACTGGCCAGGGCCCAGCAGCCATTTCTATACAGGGACCTCTCACACAAACTGTATTTCATGGAGAAGCTGGTGTTGGACTCCCTGCCTCTGCACTGAACTGCCTGCCTGCACTGTGTCTCTGCCCTTTGAGCCAGCCCTTCTAAAGAAGTTCCCGGAATCCCATTTCAACCAATAGCACCACCCAAATGGAGCTGCGCAGCTCTGACCAACCAGAGTGGCTCTATTCTGACCAATCAGGACCATGCCTTTTGGACCTATCAAACTGAAAGGATGTGGAATACTCATTTGCATGAGGAAAGACCAATCAGGGACCAGCTCCTCTCTGGCTCTGAGACTGGACTTTTCATTTCTATCCGCTGTGTCTCCCCGGCTGAGTTGAAACACCAAAGATGTCTCACCAGAGCAGAGCTAGCAGACAGGTGCCGGCCAGAGCAGGTTGGCTCAGAATGGAGCAGGCCAAAGCACAGTGGAGGAGGCCACCACAGCACAAAACAGACCAGCAAGGAGCAGAGAAGACCATCGAGCACAAAGGGCTGGAGCAGAGCCAAGCCCTCTAGCTGGAGAGGAGCCTGGCCCCAGGGCCGCCTCACAGTCCTGCTGTTTTCACAGCTGTGCTGTATCACAATTGAGTTGTTTTGCACTGAATAAAGTTTCCTTCTTCACTGTACCTCATATTGGGGATTCCTGATGGCGTTGAATTGGCGCCAACAACCATCAGTTGACAAGAGCCATGCAATTTGTCTTAAAGGACCCTCAAAGGGTGAACACAGCCGGGGGCAGGAGGGAAAAGGAAGGGTTTCATTTGGCACAAACATGTTCATGTAAGCTGGGAGGTACTCATAAAGAAGTCTTCACAATGTTTGGAGCCACAATGAAGGAGAATGCCAACTTTTAATATCCAAGGTAGTCGAATCTTCCTTTAAAAAAAAAAAAAAAAGCTGGTATAGCCATTAGACATTTAATTTACACATCTAACCTCTAGTCCATGCAGTCAGGCAGTCAGGCAGTCAAAGAAAAAGATGAGACATACTAAGTATGTCATGACTGGGGGAGATGGATGTTTTTTTCACGGAATTCACATAAATGGCTTATTAGAATATGTCATCTTCTTGGTTGTAGGACATGTCTGATTCCACGACACCAATACCTTCATAACTGTAGTTTCTATCATTTGAGGTCAAGTCACTTTTGCTCTTCTTCCTTTTCAGTGGCTTTCCTCCCTGCAGCTCCCAGGGTTCAAACACAGCGGAATTCACAGGGTTAAGTCCTTTGGCAAAGGGAACCTCAGCCCCACCCGGGTCAGCTGCATCTGAGTGATTGGCTGGGGGCGAAAGTCCGTAGCTCCGTAGCCTGTTTCTTAGTTCTTCTTCTTTTGTCTGAAAAGCAGTATTAAAGAATAAAAACGAGCCCAGATAATGTTGTCTAAGCTTTCATTAATATTGCCTGTAGTTCACATTTATGGCTTCTCAATTGATTTAGTCATTTAACAAACCTAAGCTGAGGAATTACTGTTGACGAAATCAGACACACGCCCTACGCGCGGAGCGCCTGGCCTGGCGGGCAAGGCCCGGACGGAGTGGAAGCGAAGCTGTGCAGGGAGAGGGGCCACGTGTGGGGCGCTGCAGGCCTCCTCTCCTGCACCCCTGTCCTCCCCCCGCCCCTAGTCCCAAGCACAGCTCTTCTCTTTTCATATGAAGAAAACTCCATATTATATGGATGACACGAATTCAACCAAGTTCAAGATATTGTCTCATTCCTTCGCCGCACACATTAAAAACAATTAAACATTCGGCTTAAGAAGCACAGGGATCGTGAAAATAACACATGTCCACGCAGTGTGTCTAAAAGCTGCTGGGACCGAAAGGAAGGACCCATCTCAGCGGGCAGCACCCTCCTGCCCCGCTCAGGTACCTTCCTGCGCTCTGCCGCCGCCCGCGTCGTCTCCTCCACGTCCTCTAGGGTGAGAGCGTTTCCCTCCTTTTCGAGCTTAAGTTTCTTCAGCCTGGCTGGTGGCCTCAGCAGCTTCTCAGGCGTGCTCTCCTGGAGAAGGGCACTTGGTAAAGTGGACAGACAAATGCAGGCAGAGAAGAAAGGCAGAGGTAATGCAGACGTGAGCCCCCAATGCTCTCAACCTTACAGGGTCTGATTTAAAGACATCGTGAGGCCCTGGCCAGTTTGGCTCAGCGGTTAGAGCTTCGACCTGCGGTCCAGAGAGGCCCAGGTTCGGTTCCCACTAAGGGCGTCTACCTTGGTTGCAGTTTGTCCCCGGCCCTGGTTGGTCATGTGGGTGGCAGCCACTTGATGTGTCCCTCTTACCTCCATATTTATCTCTTCTGACAATTCCTGGTAACAACAGAACTAATTCCCAAATAAAAAGGTGCCCAACGGGGGAAGGGACACTTCAAAAATATCTGTTATAGCTTGGCTAGAGCTTGGCTCCTGTGGCTCAGTGGGTGTCGGCTCATGCACTACCATGCACTAGGGGGTCGCCACTTTGATTCCCCAGTTTGATTCCCGCTCAGGGCACATGCCCAGGTTGTGGGCCCGATCCCCAGTGGGGGGCATGCAGGAGGCGGCCAATTGATGTTCTCTCTCATCAATGCTTCTATCTTTCTCCCTCTCCCTTCCTTTCTCTCTAAATCAATAAAGAAAAAAAAAATTTAAATATCTGTCAGATGCCTATAAAAAACACATGCTATTACAAAAAAAAAAAAAAGTGAAAGAATGCAGAGATATCCTGAAACTGGGCGAGGACTCAGGAGAAGGCAAAACACCTGAGAACAAACACAAGCTAGGAAAGGGTGGAGGATGAGTGATGGATTTGAGATTCAAGGTGCCCTGGCCGGTTTGGCTCAGCGGTTAGAGCGTCCACCTGCGGTCCGGAGGAGAGATTCAAGGTAAAACTTCAAACTCGATGATTGTATGATTTGCCACAAGCTACATGCCTTTCATTTGGGATCCAGAGTATTTTTCAGTACTTCTGGTCTTGTGGAGGGGAGAATTAATGGTTACTGAGAGGTAACTCTACACTGGGCTTTGCAGTTGGTACTGCACAAATGTTTACACCGACAGCAGAAAATACCATCCCGTTTCATGTGACTACCAATGTTTAAACAGTGTAAAGCAGTAACAATGGCTTTCTGATGATAATTTCTAGTTTCAGAAAAAGTAAAATTGTTGTAAAGAGTTTATAAAGAAAGTTTTCACTTTTTTTTTTTAATCCTCACCGACATTTTTTTGCATTTATCTTCAGATAGAATGGGAGGGAGAGAGGGAGGAAGGGAGAGAGAGAAACATCAATGTGAGAGAGACACATCGACTGGCTGCCACCCACCCGACCCTAACAAGGGCCAGGGACAAACTGCAACTGAGTACGTGCCCTTAGTGGGAACCGAACTCGGGACTCTCTGATCCACAGGCTGGCGCTCTAACTGCTGAGCCAAACCAGCCAGGGCCATATTTTTTTCTTTTAAAAAATAGGTCTTTAAAATAATATACATTAATTATAAAAACATTAAAATGATACATAAACAATCTCCTAATACTCTGTTTGGCCCCCTGGCCCCCGCTCATGAACCCCGGTAAAGCATATCCATAACGTTTAATCACACGTAAATGGGATTATACCACAGACACTGCTCTGCAATTTGCTTTCCTCACTTAATATAGACATCTTTCTAGCTCACATGGACTTATTATGACGGAGGGAGGTCTTAATGAACTCCAAGGCTTCATTATAAAATGAACTGAATATTGTCCTAGATAATTCCTCTAAAGATATTTAAAGGCAAGAGGTACTGATATCCATTGTACTATCTAAAAAATTGTCTCGTCAGATTGCAGTTCTGTAAGTACCAAGAAAATAAATCAAAGAGAGAAGATTTAGCAAAGCAGAAAAAAGCCTCAGAAAGACCTGGGTTTCAATCCTGACTCAGCCGTGGTGTGGCTTTGCATTAAATTCTATAACACTTGCCTTCCTTATTTGTAAAATAGGTTTAATAATACTTTTCCATGGGATTGTTTTTTGTTTTGTTTTGTTTTTAAAGGGGGGAGAAGTAGATCGCAGCCACTCAGCAAATGGAAATCACTCTTCACTTGGGGAAAGCAGTGGTTCTTTCAATGACAGCACACAGAATCATAACCCAGACACAGCGTGTTACAAAGGGAGGAATGAGCTGGAATCCCAGGCAGGGGGGCTGGACTTTCACCCCTGACCTACCACCCAAGACAAGGCACCTTTGCTCTGGGGTTTCTCACATGTAAAATTAGTGAGGCTAAGCTTCCTTCCAGCCTTAAGGCTGTGATTCTCAGATAGCTTTTTAAAGGGAAAATACTTGTCAAAGTGTTGGCTCAGTTATAGCCTTGGGGCAATTTTATGTGGGGAATTGTTCACCTCAAGAAAAAAAATAACTGTGGGGTATTGGTCAGAGCAACTTCCCCTCCCCCATCACTGTATTCTTTTTATGAAAATTGGCTTGTAGGTGTCCTACTGGCGAAAGCCCTCTGCTTAAAAAGGGGCACATTTGCTATGGAGGTTCAACTAGAGCTACTATGAAAACAGTTTTGGGCGAGTTCACTCACAGAAGGCTAGAAGAAAATGGTAGTCCAGGGTCCCGTAAAGCAGCGGTTCTCAACCTTCCTAATGCCACGACCCTTTAATACAGTTCTTCATGTTGTGGTGACCCCCAGCCATAAAATTATTTTTGTTGCTACTTCATAACTGTAACTGTGCTACTGTTATGTCTTAGGCGAGCACTGGGAAAGGGTCGTTCGACCCCCAAAGGGGTTGCGACCCACAGGTTGAGAACCATTGCTATAAAGGAAGCTTCAAGCCCTGGCCGGTTTGGCTCAGCGGTTAGAGCGTCGGCCTGCGGTCCCGAGAGACCGGGGTTCGGTTCCCCCTAAGGGCACGTACCTCGGTTGCAGTTTGTCCCCGGCCCTGGTTGGTCGTGCGGGTGGCAGCCACTCGATGTGTCCCTTCACGTCGATGTTTCTCTCTCTCTCTCTCTTCCTCTCTCTCCCTCCCTCTCTATCTGAACAAAAAATGTCCTCAGGTGAGGATTAAAAAATAAATAAATAAATAAATAAAAAATAAAGGAAGCTTGAATTAGCGCTTACATCAGAGTCTGAACCTTGACTAAAATGATTAGATTGGGAGTCCTGAGAGAATCTAGGATTTTCTGTTTGGTGGACTTTTCCTGTGGCTCTATCCCAAAACGAGGCCTATAAAATCATGGACTTTCTCCCCATTTCAGAAGTTAATTCTACCTGTGTGGCCCATGTCCTTTCTGGAGTTTGACATTTTAAGTAAAAGTATTGAAAGACCTGAGGAAAGGTATCTGTATTCTTTACCACTGAATTTTATAAAGTCAGAATTTATAAACTGTTGGCTCTTAATGATAACAAGGATCGCATTATATTTAGAGAGATATAACCCATATAAACATTTAAAAAAATCAACTTTAGCCCTGGTAGGTTTGGCTCAGCGGTTAGAGCGTCAGCCTGCGGTCCACAGAGACCCGGGTTTGGTTCCCGCTAAGGGCATGACCTTTGCTGCAGTTTGTCCCCGGCCCTGGTTGGGTCGTGTGGGTGGCGGCCACTCAATGTGTCCCTTTCATGTCGATGTTTCTCTCTCTCTCTTCCTCTCTCTCCCTCCCCCTATATCTGAATAAAAAATGGAAAAATGTCCTCAGGTGAGGATAAAAAAAAAAATTAACTTTAGCCTGGTCGGTGTGGCTCAGTGGTTGAGCTTCAACCCAGGCACCAAGAAGTCGCCGGTTCAATTCCAGGTTGTGGGCCCAATCCCCAGTGTGGGGCATGCAGGAGGCTGCCAATCAATGTTTCTCTCATCAATGTTTCTATGTCTCTCTTCTTCTCCCTTCCTCTCTAAAAAAAAAAAAAAAAAAAAAAAAAAAATGAATAAAGAAAAAAAAAATTTTGTTTTAAATCAACTTTAATACCTATAGAAGCTACTACTAGTTCCATTTTGTAAGAACACCACCGAAGGACTGTCAAGCCCTAAAATGCTATGATAAGATTTGGGTCTTTTTTCCAGCCAACCTGGCTTTATATATTTCTTCCTGTATCCACTGTGGATTCCTCAGAGCTTCCCTAATTAACCATTGACCTGCAGATGAACCTACCTTGGCTATGCCCCCAGACTGGAGTCCTGTGCATAAAATAGGCCACAGCTTCTGGAAAGAGATGTTAGGCCTCCTGGGCAAGGTCAGCTTGAGTGTTAACTGGCATTATTGGTCTTTACCCAGTGACTTCCTCCTCCTTAACAAACTCCCCATGAGGTTCAGCAAATAATCTTAGAGCCTCTGGTGCAATATGGACAAACTCTCTAACTGCACTAAAGGTTACCAGTACAGAAGTTGCTGGAGAAGGAATAGACTTTGACCAGAGACAGGAAGAGTCAATGGTGAATTCAGACTCTTATGTAGGGGGACTCAGGATACCCTAAGAGACTGGGAGAAATAAGTTCAGGATAAGAGACACCTAAAATGGTTAATACCTATGTGGATAAATGAGGGTTAATCACATCTCTCTAAAGAGATTGGTCCCATGCCCGGCCAGTGTGGCTCAGTGGTTGAGCATCGACCCATGCACCAAGAGTTCATCAGTTCAATACCCAGTCACACACATGCCCAGGGTGTGGGCCAAAGCCCCAGAGCGGGGCGTGCAGGAGGCGGCCAATTGATGTTCTCTTTCATCGATGTTTCTATCTCTCTCTCTCTCTCCCTTCCTATCTCTCTAAAATCAATAAAGAAAAAAAAAGAGATCCATCCCAATCCATACACATATTTACATGTGTGCATAAAACCAATTCACATTTATAATACAGCCACTTACATCTTATTAGAATGTTTTAAAATACACTGTTTCATTTAGTCTGATATTTAGCTTCTAAATATTATATTTCTTACATATCATTACATTCTCTCTGAGTGAGCATAGCATCTATTAGTATGAATATGCCTGGAAGCAGGTTATACAGAGGGCACTATGGAATTGATGTAGTACTTGCCAACAAGCAAATGATAAAAATTGAGAAAAAAAGACAAAAGGGAGTTCTGTGGTGAACACAGATACAGACATGGACTTATGGGGAGAGACTAGCTCTTGGGGAGTCCCCTGATTCAGAGAATGAATGAAGGACCCTCACTTTTCAGTTTCCTTTATTATATGTCACTATAAATGACAACTGAATTAAAGATAATAACCCGGCTAGGAAGAGGGCAACTCTATGTCTAAAATGCCTTTGTATTTAAGTATACTATTGGTCTATACAAGGGATGTTGTTTATAAAGTATCCTTATATCTATTACTCCTTTTTTCCCCATAATAATTAAAAGTTTTTTAAGCAATGAAGAAATAGTGTTTACATGTCTGATTGGATTTCTCACAGTGTAGGAACTGAAGACATTAACATCTCTTTCTGACCATCTTCTTTTTGTTTCCCTTTACTCTGGTTTGTTTTTTAGTCAATTTTATCATCTGTCTTTTTTTTCTAAAAAATATTATTAAATATTAGATAGTTGAAAGTATTAGCTATCTAGAAATATTTCTATTTAATATGGTTCCCCTTTTAGTTCTTCAGTTTTGTTTCTTTTTTAATGTTGGCTTTTAAAAAAAATGTTTTTATTGATTTTAGAGAGAGAGAAAGGGAGAGAGAGAGAGAAAAACATTAATGATGAGAGAAACACTGATTGGCTGCCTCCTTCACACCCCCTGTCGGGGATCGAGCCCACAACCCAGGCATGTGCCCTGACCAGGAATCAAATCTGCAACCTCTTGGTCCATGGGTCGATGCTTAACCACTGAGCCACACTGGCTGGGCTAGTCATTCAGTTTTAATTCTCATCTTTTCACAGTGGCCTTATAACTTTTCTTAAAATATGCATGATTGGAGATTTTACCTGCAACACTGAGCAATTAAATCTCACCTTCATTTCCATAGGCTTCCTGGGGTAATCTTAGTCTTTATACCTGATAATATGTTATATTTTCTGGAATACTTTATAATTCTCTTTCACAGTGAATGGGGGATTTCAATTTCAAAAGCTTCTACCCTTCCCAGCTCTATGATGAATTTGAAGGCTTTCTACATGTTCGTTGCAACTGCAGGGCAGTGGTTCTGAGCCTAGGCTGCCCATGGGAATCACCTGGGAGCTTCCAAACATACTACACCTGGAGCCCAGCCCCAGCCGCTGGTCCTAGGTGGAGCCTGGGCACTGGGAGTTTTGAAAGCTTCGTAGGCGACTCGAATGTGCAGCCAGGTTAAGGACCACTGCGCTAGGCAACAAAAGGCACAGCGTGTATTACTGCCAGCCTGTTGCAAGTCTTATGTTGGGGCATCTTGGCCCAATTCCAAAGAAAAATCAAAACAAAATTTTTAAAAACCCCACAGAACACAAAAGAGCTGTATTACTCTTGCCTACCTCTGCAGTCCTGTTACATTGAAATCCTTTTGAGAATACTCCGGCTACACTCCTGACAACCACTCCATCTCTACAGAATACGAAAACAGCCTCCATCTTTGGCTCACTGAATGATGTTATTGGAAGTCAAGCCCATAATTTTGTTCTTTTTATGAGACATCTCTTTCAGGACGTAGTCCATATTAGTTAACCTTGTTGGTGCCCTTGCGAGGTCTGAGTCTGAACTCATTCATCTGTCTCTGTGTTTGAATCACTGGAAAATGGTTTAACGTTATTCCCACTGGCATTAGCATCAAGGTTCCAAAGCCTTTCCCTTTAAGAAAGCACCGCTTAGCTACTCAACATTTCCAGAATCTATCCCCCCCACATTTCTCTCCTATCTTTTTCTTTTGACACACCTTTTTTTTTTTTTCTTAACTCTACCCCCAAGATTCACCTACAGCTAGAAAAAAAAAAATCTCTTCTCTCTCTTTCTATATTAAAGACAAATTGTTTTTAGTACTTTCAAACAAGGTACTCCAGAATGCCTTGTACAAATGTAAATTGTCAATACGTTGGCATTATCTTTTCCATTATACGGTCCATTTGTCCCTTTCCCTTTTCACCACATCTTATTATTGGCAGCCTGACAATATCATTCATAAGGTTTAGCAATCTCCTCTTTATCTCCCCAAATATTTTCTGTAGGGCTATTTTCCTTCTTCAAAAGAAATGCCACTTTAGATTTTTTTCATGAATTCTCAGCATTTCCTAAACAGAACAGGTAATTACCTTTATTTAAACATAAGGTGACTTGGTCTAGGTGGCAGACTTGATTTAAATAATGCATCTCTTCATTCCCAGCTCACTGTTTTCCCTACAACACAGGAGCCATTGATATAATTTTTGGACCCTATTTCCACCATTTCTGTCTCGTCTTTCCCATCCATTTTTTTCCTCAGGCTTCTTTTCTTTGTTTTCTCTTCTTTTATCTTCTTTCTTTTGCTTATGCTTTAGGACTACTGGTACTTAGTGCATTAGCTTAAAAAAAACCCCAAACAAACAAGAAAACAAAATAAAGTAACAACAACCCCTGCTGTCCTCTGCACAAGTTTATACAGAACTTGTTTAAAGAAATGAAGACCTCGCCCTGGCCGGTTTAGCTCAGCAGTTATAGCATCGGCCTGCAGTCCAGAGAGACCCGGGTTCAGTTCCCGCTAAGGGCACGTACCTCGGTTGCAGTTTGTCCCTGGCCCTGGTTGGTCATGCGGGTGGCAGCCACTGGACATGTCTCTTTCACGTCGATGTTTCTCTCTCTCTCCCCCACCCCTTCCCTCCCACTCTATCTGAACAAAAAATGGAAAAATGTCCTCGGGTGATGATAAAAAAAAAAAAAGTGAAGACCTCAAGTTACTCACACTAAGGAAAAACAATGACAGATTAGTCAAGATCAATCAACAACAACAACAACAAAAATAAGAGTAAAACAATTTCTACAAATGTATTTCCTCATATTTGACCTTAGAGTGTGTATATAAATGCATGAGCATATCTGTTTTAGCTTTGGCATTTAGGCTTATTATTCTTTTTCTTTCTTTCTTTCTTTCTTTCTTTCTTTCTTTCTTTCTTTCTTTCTTTCTTTCTTTCTTTTTTAAGAATGGTTTATTGATTAATTTTTTTTTTTTAAGAGAGAAAAGAAGGGAGAGGGAGAGAGAGAGAAACATCAATGTGAGAGTGCAACATCGATGCTGCCTCCTACATGCCCCTTACCAGGGACTGAGTCCCCAACCCTGGCATGTGCCCTTGACTGGGAATCGCAGGGGCAACCTCCTGGTGCATGGGATGACACCCAACCAACTGAGCCACACTGGCCAGGGCAAGCCTATTTCTTACTGGATAAGAAAGAGTTTAGTTTTATATTCACAATTCCTAGTACATAGGTAATGCTTAATAAAAATTGCTGAAAGAATAAGGCATGTTACTCAATGGAGCTTATTATGTCTCAAATTTAGTAAAACCCAAGATATGTTTCATTGGATTCATTAATCATTAATGATTAGGGCAATTCTAAATCGGTAGAGGGATGGTGTGCAGAGAGATGAGGGAATTTATGGTAGAAAAAAAGGGCTCAGATAAATGCTATCTGTGTTGTGACACCAGGATGCATATGCTGGAAATAACTTGTGATCAATCTTAAATCTATTGCTATTTTTAACTATACTCTAATGTTAATTACAAAATTACTTGCCATGACATCGTATGATTCTCCATTTCTAGATACTTTGCTATGGCTTTGTATTATTCCTTGAAAAATTAATTCCTCCAGGATGTCTGATGACTTTTGTCGCTCTCGACTCTCTAGGGGTTGCGGTTTATGGATTAATCCACTGGTCGCTAAGTCTTCCAAGGGAAAAGAAAAAAGAAAGCGAAATTTAAGCTTGCAGATATTATTAATCAAATGCTAAATGGATGCTGTATGAGTCAAGCTACTTAATTAAATCTTACACTCAACACTCTTACCTAAATATCTGTTTCTATTATAAATCTTTGAATCCTTTGAAGTTCAAATGCTTAATGTTCTATCAGAGAATATGCATCAGTATAATATACTGTTTACTAAACAGAGCCCAGATGAACATAACCAAAAGTCTTTCATTCGCTGCTATGTACTACTTTTTTGTTGTAACAACACTTGTACACTTGGGTACAGCTCCATGGGTTCTCGGCGCTAATTACGAAGCCAAACCACAGCTATGACTGAGATGTTCTTTGGGTGACTCTTCCGAGTTGCAGCTGGTTTCTATGCTTTGTATACAAAGGATAAACAGCGTGCGGTTGCCAAGAGACTTCTAGTTCTGCAACTTTGAGTTTACATTTACAATGATGCCATCTGCTAAATCTACATAAGTAAAAATATGCCTTTTTGAAAAGAGTCTTTGAACCATATCAGAATTGGAGTCAAGTGCTATCAGCTAAATTTTTATTAGTGATTCTAAAAATGGCCTGAAACAGTTTATAGGGGAACCTTCATAAACTGCACTGAGACACCCCCATTACAAATCATAAATAAACAAGTAAGCATCCGTTCTTACAGCTTCATATTGTAAAATAAAAATACAGAAGGGAGACTTCAGAAATGAGCTATCTTTGCCCTGGCCTGTTTGGCTCAGCGGTTGGAGCGTTGGCCGGCAGACCAGACCAGAGAGACCCGGGTTCGGTTCCCACTAAGGGCACGTACCTCAGTTGCAGTTTGTCCCCGGCCCTGGTTGAGGTTGTGTGGGTGGCAGCCACTCAGTGTGTCTCTCTCACATCAATGTTTCTTTCTCTCTCTTCTTCCCTCTCTCCCTCCCGCTCTGTCTCATCAAGATCAATGCAAAAAAAAAAAAAGAAAGAAAAAGAAAGAAATGAGCTATCTTCTATTTTGTAATGATCAGGAAGGAAGTTTGGATAGTAACCAAATCCACTCCGTATGGTGAATGGAGGCTTTTCATGAAATTTTTTAACCTGGCACTATATTGAGCACTTTATATATTTTATAGCATCTCAATCAAACATAAACTCTGTAAGAGATGTATCATCCTTTTTTGGTAAATAAACAAACTGATATGGGAGAGGCTCACTAACTTGCTCAAGGTGACAAGAGTAGTAAGTAAATTAACTAGGATGTAAACCCAAGTCCGCTTGACTTGAAGAGCCCAGCTCTTCCCCTCCTGGCGGGACCCTTCCCAAACAGGCCACGTCCACGCTTCCACTGGGCACATTTCACTGCTCTCGCGGGACGTTTCTAAGAAGAACGTCCTCATGGACACCTGTCACTAACACACACAATTATTTGAACCATTCTGATCCATTCTTTCCTGAATCCACTCAAGTATTTGGCTTGACATTTACAGAAATCCTGGGACTATGTCAGTCATTTTGACTAATTTTCATAATTTCTTGGAAAATTAAAGAGTATTAGGAAAGCATTTTTAAACAACATTGTACATCTTTCTGATTATAAAAGTAATATGTCGTAAACTTGGAAAATATAGAAAAGAATAAAAAGATAATAAAAATATCTATTCTCTTCCCATTCAGAGGTTGCCATTGTTAACATGTAAAATTTAATTTGAGAAATGTGCCATCACACTGAACGGAGCTTTGTTTCCTATGCAGTGAAACATTTGCATTAGCATTTTCTCCTGCCATTACCAAGTCTTCATAAGCATAAGTATAACAAGTGGTCTTACAAGAAAATAAGTATAACAAGTGGTCTTACAAGAAAATGTGGCTGCTCGGCCAGTGTGGCTCAGTGGTTGAGTGTTGACCCATGCACCAAGAGGTCCTCGGTTCAATTCCTGGTGAGGGCACGTACCCAAGTTGTGGGCCTGATCCCCAGTGGGGGGCCTGCAGGAGGCGGCCAATTGATGTTCTCTCTCATCAATGTTTCTATCTCCCTCTCCCTTCCTTTCTTTCTAAAATCAATAAAGAAAAACAAGAAAGAAAGAAAACATGGGTGAATTTGTTTTTGACCTTGGTGTAGGAAAGGGCTTTCTAACTGACTCAAAATCTCAAAATCTAGATTCAATAAAAGACTATTAACTTTTACTACATTAAAAAATTTTGCAAAGTAAAAAAACAAAACAAAACAAAACCCAACAACCTCACAATAGAAATCAAATGTAGATATCACATACCTCCTGATTTGAGATACAATATAATTTTTTGTATTCTTGCTAAAAATGCACAATCTGGACCTAATCATGAGGAAATATAAGACAAACCCAAACTGAGGACATTTTACAAAATAAATGGTTTCTATCTCCAAATATATCAAGGTTATAAAAGACAAAGAAAGGCTGAGGGATTGTTTCAGATGAAAGAAGACTGAAACCACATGACAACTAAATTAAACATGTGATCCTGAATTAGCTCTGGAACCAGACATTCATTTGGGGAGGACACCTGTAAGACAATTGACAAAATCTGAATATGGTCTGTAGATGGGACAATAGTACTGCATCAGTGGTCATGTCCTGCTTTGGAGCCTTGGACTGGGATTTTGCAAAGAATGCCCTTGTTTTGAGGAAATACGTGCCAGTGTATGTAGGAGTAAAGAATATTTATGTCTGTAACTTACTCTCAGAAAAAATATACTTGTATAAGAGAGGGGGAGAGAGGAAAAGAGGGAGTGGAGGGAGGGGGAGGGCTATCATTTTTGCAAATATGGCACGATGTTAACATTTGGGGAATCTGGGGGAAAGAATACAGGCATTCTTTGTTTTTTTTTGCAACTTCTCTTTAATCTGAAATGGTTCAAGGTAATTTTTTTTTTCCTAAAGGAAATATTTGGAAAATGTTAGTGTGAAAGTTGAAACTTTTAACAAATAGACTCTGTAGATGTGAAGAGCAGGGATGCAGAAAGCTGACAGAGGGGAAACCGGGTAGAGAAAGAATATAAAGCTCAGGGCAGGAGTTTATTCATTCGGTGGTATAGAGCTTTCTGGAGACCTCAGTTACAGGGTGATTTGGAAACATCTGCGTGGTAATTTACTCCCTCCCCCATGGTGTCCTGTAGCACTATCCTGCTCACCTGTGGCCTCCCATCCTGCTTTCAACAGGTAGGGCTGGCAGGGTTGACTGAGGGCACAGCCAGGTCCCTGTCCAATAGACCATCTCATCTGCTAACACCATAGATACTGAGCATTCATGTTGCAGTGTAGGAGGGATTCCCATCAACAGAATTTTCAGAGAGGGAAAAAAAAGATATGTGCTGATCCAACACACACAGAGAGGAAGGGGCGTGACCTCCTCCTCAGAGGTCACACCTGCACCAACCAGAAGCATGAGTCCAAGGCAAATATGAAATTTGTGATAACCTGAGCGTGCACCAAAGTCCAAGAGAAAGAATCTCATCTATAACCTATTTATTTTCTAATTCTAACTTCTACCTAGGGAAGAATCTATAGCAATGAAGAATGAAATGAAAGCCTTCACCCCAAATAAAAGAGAGTACTTTTCCTTGAGGTCTGTTAAGTTCAATTGGTTTCAAAGGCTGATAAGAAATAAGAGTTCTCATATTGACACCAGGGGATACCTGAAGTAAAGTGAAAACACACCATAAGAAAAATATTTACAAATAGTTTCAAAGGGCACACTAGATCATAATTACTTCTTTATGCTCTGAAAGATTCTTTCATTATATGTTTGCTTATAGTTTGGAGGGGGAGAGATGGGGAAAACCATTGATGCAGGTTTTGCTTATTTTTTCAAATGTAGAACTTTCCCTTGAAAAAATGTTAACATAGTGGGAATTTAACCAAAGCCCATGCAACTTCTGTTCCTAGGGCCTATTACCAACCACCAATAAGGCTCTGAGTTTGGGGCGGGGGGTGCATGGTTTAATGACTTCATGACCAGAAGATTAATGGTTAGCATTCTTTGCTCACGTAATGAAGACTCAAGGCTAAGTTCTAATGTCTTAGAGAGAGGGAGCTTGAATTTAGAGCATTCCTGGCCCACAAAGCCGTGATAAAGGGGCCACCAAATGTATTAGGAAATATATTTAGAGAAACAGTGTCTTATGGAGATTAACATGAATGGGGACTTTTACCGAAATGTATTCTTCTGTTTCTTCCACTAGGAGATGGGGAACTTTCTGGAATGGTGCCGGGTAAGCTTTCCCACCGGCCCTGTTTTTCCACCTCTTCGGGGCTGCCCACAGTGTCCTTGCGCAGGGTGGCCTCACAGAGGGTCTGCGCAGAGGGTCTGCGATCCTCTCTGGAATGAGCCTCACCCACATCAGCCTGTAAAAAGGGAATCGTTTTGCGAGAGTCAAGATTTCTTAGAAAATGGTTTCTTTTTATTATTATTATTTTTCTTTATTGATTTTAGAGAGAGGAAGGGAGAGGAAGAAAGAGATAGGAATGTCGATGAGAGAAAACATCAATTGGCTGCCTCCTGCATGCCCCCCACTGGGGATGGGGCCCACAACCTGGGCATGTGCCCTGACCGGGAATCAAACCGGCAACCTCTTGGTACATGGGTCGATGTTCAACCTCTGAGCCACACCGGCTGGGTGATTTCTTGGAAAATGAAAACAATGTCATCAGACTTGCTTTGTGACTGTTTAGCTCACTAGTACCTGAGGTTGGCCGAAGAGTGGCCTGCAGATGCTACCTTACATGGCAGAAGGGACTTTGCAGATGCAGTTAAATTAAAGATCTTGAAATGGCAAGAGTATCCTGGATTGTCCAGGTGGACCTGAAATGTAATCACAAGGGTCCTTGTAAGAGGGAGGCAGGAGAGCTGACTGCAGAGGAGGGGACGTGAGGATGGGACGCAGAGAACACCCAGTGCTGGCTCTTCTTTCATCGCTGGGTTGGCCGGTTTCCCTCTTCTCATGCAATAGAAGCTTCTAGATGCTATCGGCCAACCTTTTCTGTTATCTAAGACACATACCAAAGGAAGTCTCTTCAATATCCTCAGAAGAGATACAAATATAAGCATCTTCCACAGAATATCATCTTCTGGCTCTTTTTCTTTATGTCTATGACTTTACATTTTTAACCCCAGGGGTGCTCTTCTTCTCCCCGAGTCTTTGAAGGGCCTCAGGACCCCACCCTCTCTTTGTAGCACAACCCTGATATGCTCATACAAGCTTGTGTCTTTTGGGGAACAGTGAAAGGTGTAAAGAGGAGAATGCTTGAATTGGGTCTTAATTAATGAATTTCCAGGGAGCAAGAGGAAAGCTTATTGTAGACAGAAGAAAAAGCACACACAAAGACAGGGTGTGGAACAGCATTGTGCGCCCGTGGACTTGAATGATTCCATTGTAGCAGGAACAGACTGAAGTAGAAAGTGGTAGGTGCTGAGGTGGGGAAGGGAAGCCTTTTGTGTCAAACAAAGGCTTGTGAGTTTATTTGGACCGCAAGAGCAATCCTTTGCAGGACTGTCATATATGAGAGTAAAATACATGATCTGTAGTGTTGTTTAGAAAGATCACCTTTGAGTTAGTGCAATGGCAAGAACTGAAGGAAGGAACAAAACAGGGCAGCCCGTTACGGTGACAACGACTATTATCCAGGTGAGCTGTGATTAAATACCAGCTGAGACAGAATCAGTAAAAACAGGGGAAAGAGGTGGGCCCAGAAATATCAGAAAGGCAGATAATAGACCTTGAAGAACTTCAGTTTGAAGGAGGGAGGTCCCTTCTGGCTCAAAATTAGGGCTCTGGGAACTAAACAGAAAACATTCCTTTATAAAACAGGAAAAGTAAGAAAGAAGTTGGACACCAGCGTGAAACTCGATACAATAAAAATCAGACAATTTTTAAACCTAAGGACACGTGACCACTTTCTAGAAGCACCCCACGTCTGCAGTCCCCTCGGAGGCTACGCAGAAACCACAGCAGCTGGGCTATGCCCCCGCCCCCGCAAGGGGCTCAGCGTCCGGCCAGGATCTCGCACGTCGCAGGGAGACCCTACCGCGGGGTTCGCGTGGCTTGATCACTCCAGCTCAGCCAGCTTTAGTTTAGTTTATTGTGCTGAAGATTAATTAGGTCTGTGGCTGCGGACTGCACGGGGAGATAGGAAAAATCAATCAACTGAACAAACAAAGTGAGCAAACAAAAACTCGACGGATCTGGACTATGAATCGGCACAAGGAAAAGGCCTGCGAGCAACTATGTCCTTTTTCTCTCTCCACCTGCAGTTCTTCAGAGACACAGTCACTGCCGTGCAGTCCCCGGGGAGCAAGCCCAACAGGAACAGTCTTCACAGATAATGTGTTCTGCGTTATTACATAGTAGCGATCATTCTCTCGCCCAGGGTCTCCTTTTTCCTTTGTTATATATAACATACAGAGTGGGCCAGAAGTAGGTGGATGGTTATGAGTACGCGAGGCAGAGTTTACTCTTGTCTGGTTATTCATTAATTATTATATCATTTTCCATGCAAACAGCTGTCAACCTCCTTTTGCCCCGCCCTGGGTGTTGGGTTTGTTCTGTGGCTGTTACACGTAGCAAAGGGAAAGCAGGGTCTACCTGACTCTTCTCTTTCCGGGCCTCACAGTTCTCACGGAGGTTCAAGCCCGTGCTGGGCATTCTTTCCCCTCTTCCCAAAAAACTAGCCAAGACCAATACCTGCAGGGAGAGTGGTACTGGTTGCTGGACAGGAACCGAGCCCAAAGTGGGTCTGTCCCGGGCCGGCCTGTAGGGTGGAGCTTGGACTTGGAACAGGAAAGATTTTGTTTGTTAAAGCTGGAATAGTGAGATAAGGAAGGGTTAGGATTGAAGAAGCAACAGGAGAGGCAGGGCAGAGTGGCTTCGGTTCTCTAGAAATGCTATAGGAAAGAAATGAGCCGAGGCGGGGCTGGTTTGGCTCACTGGGAAGTCAGAGAATAGGGGGTCTTGGAGACAGGTTCAGGGGGTTAACCCAGGCAAGCTGCTGCTGCCCATCGCTCCCCTGGTTGCAAGTCTCAAGGGGACCCTTAGAGTTTAGGAGACGCATGTCTGTGGGGGGAAGAAGAAAGGGAAGTGAAAAGCCATGCATGCTCTGGAGAGGGAGAATTCCCCCTGGGGCAAAGCGTTTTGAAGGCTGGGTGTTCAGGAGAGGTCTTGGGGAGGATCTCAATGGAATATTCATCAACTCTATGCTGAGGTACCAAAATGAGATTTATTACCTTAACTTCATCTGTCCTTGGGTGTGGTTGGCAAATGGCACTACTTGGATTTCTGCTGTCTCCCTGGGTAGGGTGATTTAAGCTATTTATCCTCTGGTTGGGAGGAGAAGTGTAAACCATTTATTCTTAGGTATTTTTGGTTAGAGAAGATAGGATTTTGTGATTTACTGGATGGCTGTAAACTGCTTTGCCTTTAACTATCTATCTCAGTTTCCTTTTTCCGCTTGTCCTGGCTCACCAGCCTGTCTCAGTAGGAGTTCAGATATTGTCACAAGCTCATTTTGTTTTGCACATCTGTCTTTTCCCGAACCTAGAGAAGCACTAAGTAACATACAGAGATTAATTTTGCCATTTCCCTTTTCCCAGAGGAGATCTTGAAAATGTAACTGATTTAACCACAACAATAATAAACAAAATGCCCACGTTGGAGCTGAGAACAAATCTGAATATTTTCAGTCTAAAAGGTGTCTTTTCACAAACATATTCTGTCAACTACAAACTGGAATACATTTAAATGCCACAACCCTGAATGACCTCCAATCGGTTCATTGAATTGACTAACCCAGGCTTCGCTAAGGAGCTTTACCCATGTACACTTATTTACATACAGTTTGCCTTCAAACTCTGTTAGTGGCCAAATCTTAAAGTGTAGCAGATGAAACACAATCTTTCAGCATAAAATAACATATACCAGACTTCAGTTTCCAGAGCAGAAATGTAAGATTTTTCTCTTTTGAAAATTAAGAATGTCTTTCAAATGTTTTATCTATGTGCAACACATTCTGGAAATTTTAACCCAATTTAGACTTGGGAATAGACATAGTTCAAAGACCAGAGATATTTACAAATTAATTAGATCTATGCCTCTCTGGGATATGTCAAAACAGTGTTGTTGTTCTGTCTGCGGTGCAGAGCTTATATTTCACACCAATAAGAAGTCAGTCTATCTGCAATGGTACTGGGGGGGGGGGGGGGAGGAAGGTTTTCTGTTTCCCTTGAGAGGAATTTGTACCAGAAGCACAGACTCAACATGTTTGTACATTTTGTATCAGTGTTATTTTATACTTCATTGTCTTGGTGATAAAATTTCATGAATTTTAGACAAAATTGAAAAGCTGGGAATTCCAAGCTAACAGCTATTCATAAGATCATCAGCATTCCAAGAAAGGTATTGATCTTAACTATAGACAGGATTTTGTTTTGTTTTGTTTGGTCTGCAAGTATTACCTATGTCCTAAGGCTTTTGGGAAACAAACTTAAAATTTGCTTAGAAGGAGTCATTTGTCAAGACTCCCTGGAGCTTAAATCTTCTAAAATCAAATTATTGGCAGATATATTTTTATAAATATATTTGTCCATAGAATTTGTTCTTCAAAAATCTTTTTCTAGCCCTGGCCGGTTTGGCTCAGTGATTAGAGTGTTGGTCTGTGGACCGCAGGGTCTCGGGTTCGATTCCGAGTAAAGGGCATGTACCTGGGATGCAGGTTTGATCCCTTGGTCGGGGTTGTGCGGGAAGCAACCAGTTGATGTATCGCTCTCACACCAATGTTTCTCTGTCTCTCCCCCTCCCCCCCTTTCACTCTGTCTAAAAATCGATGAAAACATATCCTTGGGTGAGGATTAACAACAACAACAACAACAACAACTCTTTTTCTACTTTACTTCTAATGAATGAAATAAATAACAATTCTCCAAAAAATAGTCAGAAATATGCTCTTTTAAAAATTGGACTTCAAGAAGTATTTAGGCAATAAACAAGATTTTCTTGTCAAATATTAGAGGAAAATTATGAAGAATCCTTGGATCATCTATTCCAATATAGCCTGTCACCTTTTATAACATGCAAGAAACTTTGAGTTAATAATATAGAAGGAGCTTTCTAATGAAGTTTCTCACCATTCCTTATTATGCATTATTTTATTGCAGTGACTTCTCACCACTTTAGACTAAGGGAAGGTGAAGAAAGTCTGCAGGCAGGTCTCAGGAAGTTAGATTCAGAATATTTTAAAGTCATGCCACCAAGAAACATAAATATTTCATGCAGGCAAACATGTTCACCTAATTTCAAAGACATTGCAGAATGACTAAACTCTCAGCCCTATGGATTTATGAAGGTAGCGGAGGCAGTACCGTTCTGATAGCTAGTGTTAATTAATAATCATACCTTCCCCAGGTCTGGTTTCCAAAGTGAAGTGCTTGGGGTGGGGAAAGAGAGGTATATATGTGAGTCAACTCTGAGTCTATTTTCAGGTTATTTTAATATTGGGTTCCCTCCTTGCTGACTGTCATTTGTCTAGGTACGCTACTGAGGAGACAGGCAGACGCTCTGGAATGGGGGAGCTGGGAAGGACACGCGGTCACTCAGGAACTGTTCATCAGTGTTGGCACTGGGCCCTGTAGTACGCACTGGAGATACAAGATACAACACCTCGAGCTAGTAATAGTTCAGGATGGAAAGCAAACATGGAAACAAGTACACACAACAAAGTGTTTTGAAACGTGATAGGAGAAGGTATAAGGTCAATTCTGTCAGCATGGTGGCAGGAGCAATGGAGAAGAATGGGTTCTCGAGTGGGTTGAAAGACAGGTACATATTTGCATGTGGCCCAAGAAAAGGGAGAAGGACAAGTCTGAGGGGGAGGAAACAGTGGGTGTAAAGGCGTGGAGACAGACACGGACGGACTGGGTTTGGGGAAAATGAGTACTAAGGCGTGATGACTATGAGTGTGGAGAATTTGACACGAGTCAGCTTGAGCGAGACTAGGAAGGCATGCTATGGATGTAGGAGATGATCTTACATAAATAACTAATAATAGAAATAATAATGATAATATAATAATAGTAATAACTAATACTAAGCACTTTTTTTTGTGCCAGGCATTGGTAACTTTAAAAATTTACATGAATTAAATTTATTTAATCTTCACAACAGCTCTATAAAATCACTATTATGAATTATTCTCATTTTACAGATAAGGGAACTGAGACACAGGGAGGTTAAATACTTGACCAAAGTCACACAACAAGTAGTGAATCCAGAAATCCAACCTAGGCAGTCACATTCTTGATCACTGGTGTGTGTGCCTGCCTAATGGGCTGGTAACGGTTTTCAGCAGAGGATGACATTATCAGATTTGATTTTAGAATGATCACTCTGAAGGTCATGTGAAGGTTGAACACGGAGGGGGTGGGTAGTGGAAGAAGAACCTACAGAGACCAGTTTGAAGATTGTTCAAAAATCCAAGCAAGAGCCCTGGCCAGTTTGGCTCAGCGGTTAGAGCATCAGCCCGTGGTCCAGAGAGTCCCGGGTTCGGTTCCCGCTAAGGGCACGTACCTCGGTTGCAGTTTGTCCCCGGCCACTCGATGTGTCCCTTTCACATCGACGTTTCTCTCTCTCTCTCTCTCTCTCTCTCTCTCTCTCTCTCTCTCTCTCTCTCTCTCCCCCTCCCACTCTGTCTGAACAAAAATGGAAAAATGTCCTCAGGTGAGGATTAAAAAAATCCAAGCAAGAGGAAATGAGTATCTCATCCAAGAAATTCACGTAGAAAGCCAGAAACCCTACCAGGCCTTGGGGAGGGACCTAGTATATTTGACACTCAAAGATCTTGCTTTTTAGCATGCCCTCCGGCTCCATACAAAAATATATACATTTTCAATTAAAAACCATAATTAATGGGAAAAATGACAATGGCCAGAAAAGAAGCATGAATACTGAAAATTTCTTCTTTGAAGTCTTATATGTAATTATGCCAGTAAAACATAAAATTAAATAAAGACTTTTGTACAAAAAAAGGGAAAACACAACGGATCAATACTTTAAATTACATTAACATATTTTTTGGGAAAAAGAGAAAAAACTATTCCCAAAGCAATACTGAATAACAGCAAAGATAACCAAATGGTTTCCAGGAAGCCCATGAATGTCGGAGGAAGAAGGAGCTTAAACCAACATTTGTCTGGGCTCAGTACTGTAGGATGAGCAGAGTTCATCAGGCGAATGGGGAATGGGACCAGGGCAGGGCATTCCTGAAAGATAGAATGGACATGGGGAAAGACATGCAGGGTGATGAGGCCTGGAAGAAGTGAGCACTGCGAGGTCTCGGCTTGGTAGACGGGAAAGTCCATGAGCAAGAGGGACTGGAGAGGATGATGGATTGATGGGACCACATGTCAAAGGTTTTGCACACTCCAGAAAATTTTTTCTTAGAAAGATAGGTGCAGTGTGGGAGGTAGACTGGTCAGGGTGGCACAGGAGAGGCAGAAATAACCAGGAAGGGGTAATTGGACCCTAAACGCAGACAGTGGCATTTGGGGTGGAAAGCAGATGTTTTCTGCTGGTTTCTCCCAGGGCAGCAGGTACTAAGCCTGAGTCTCGGCCTTTACTAGACCCTGGTTGGGTTTTTGACTCCCGGAGCCCAGCAGATGTGCCTCACACAAAGCGCTGTAACTGGCACTGACTAGTGTCTTGCACGTTGCCTGGGAACAGAAAGTGTGTGCTCTTTAAACCGTGGTTCCCAAAATGCCCTTTAGTATGGGCTTAAATCAGACTGAGCAAATGTATCGCTGGTGTTCTCTTTCACTCTTAAAAGAATCCTGCTTTTGATGGTAAATTATATGGTAACATTATCTTTGGGCAGCCCCTCCTGAAGGGACCCGTGTGGGTTCCTAGTTCGGTTTGGGGAATCTTGATGGTGTGAGAATGGGAGGAAATCATGGACTTTGTTTCTGCTTGGGTCAACCCATCCCTCCATTTCCCAGCCTAAAAAGATTCCCCTTCATGTCTCTGAAGAACTAAGCGGGATGCAACCTTGAGGGAGAGTGGAAAGAGTACTGGAATGAGACTTTAGAATATTGGATTCTATCTCCAGCTCTGCCACCCAAACAAGCTGTGCAGCCTTGAGCAAGTTGTCACCTCTCTGTGACCTTAGAGCACCCATGAGGCAAGTGAGATCTCTTCCAGGGCTAATTCCCAAAGGGCCCACTTTTCGGAAGCCAATAATACATGGCTCCCAGCACTCCCACCTGCTCCTGAGAATCACCTCCAACCCCAGCTCTGAGCACTACTCATCCTGTTATTCCTGCCCCTGCCCCTGCCCCTGCCCCCGTGTGATCACCTTCGCGAGCTCTCGAAACACACAAGACTCGCAGAGCTGGTCCCGTAGCAGCCGGAATCCCAGTTAAGACAGCAGTTAAACACACAGGCCAAATAAAGTTAGTCTCAACCCGTCCAGCCTGCGGCCCATTCCCTGTGAGCCCCAGCGGACCCTGCCTGCTCCAGTCTACTTCAGCCTCCCTGAGGCGTGGCAAAGGCTTTGTGCCTGTTTTGTCTGTTTTACCTTGAATCCCTCGTCCCAGCCCTTCCTGGGCGCGGGGACGAACCTCTGGTCCTCAGCAGGCTGGGAAGGTCCGCAGCCCATGCTGCTAGCGCGCTCCTCCGGCCGGGCCCGCCGTGCGCCCCCGCGCCCTCCCCGCCGCGTCTCTGCGCCCGGGTCCCCGCAACTCTGCACCTTGGTCCCTGCGCCCCAGCGCCTCCGCCTCTCCCACCTCCAGCACTTAAAGGCTCGACAGGAGGCGCTGGGCACCTGGGCAGTTGCTGGGAACTGTTGCCACAATAAACCGAATCGCCGGAACCTGGGAACCGGGCGGCGACGGGACTCTTGCAACTGAAAACTGGAAGATCAGAGGCGTCTAAATCACAAGTAGGATGCAAATTGCAGCCCTCTCCAAAGCGAAGTGCGGGGAGAGCCCGCTGCTGGCCGAGTTAGTGTTTAAGGTACCGTTGTCACATGCACCCTGCGTGGACTTCTGTTTTTTCCTTTCTAAGGAACCGTGGCACACGCCCCGCCCCTGGTGCCCAAGCCACGCGCTCGAGTTGTTGGCTTTGTGCTTCAGACTCGGCGGGGACAGCGCAGACGATTGTGAGGAAGGCGACAAAGGAGCGAGCCCGGTTGGTGGAAGCAGCTCTTGAAGACCCGAGGACAGTGAAGGCGGCCTGGAGAGGCAGTATCATGGGGCGGCCATGGGGGAGGACGGTCACATTAATAGAAATCCTGATATTTAGGATCATAACCAGCTCAGCAGCCGAGAAATGGGTCATGAAAATCATTTTTATGGACCATGTGGTTCATGAGCTGTTAGGAAAGAGCATGGATATGCCGACTTCTCTCAGAGAATTAAATTAAAACCGGGTGATCCATCAAAAAAAGGCAGACCAGGCCGACTGCTCAAATAAGCAACAAGTTGCTCTTCCCCCGATTTTTTTCCTTTTATTCTATTTTTGATTAACTTTTATTTTAAAAAATTAAAACAAAAAGAAGCTAAACAGGATTTTACAGGCTGCAGACGTTAGCTCAGAGAGATTGAGTGACTTAGATGGGGGGCTGAGGGACTGGGGGTTGGGGGGTGGACTAGTTAATGGGGGATCTGGGATAAGGAACCAGGTGGCCTGTCTCAGTCCCTCCAGTATCCACCTAGGAAAATACTAGCAAGGGTTCTTGGGAATGTAAAACTGTTTGATCCTTCCAAGAAAATTAGTAGTCTGCTCTGTTAGAAGCAGCTGATTATTTATACCATTTAAACTCATTTCACTCTCTCTCCTTACTGTTTGGATGGTGTGTGTCTATTTGTCTTTACTAAAACTGAAGAAGAGAAAAGATAAACCTCAAGTCAAAGCATTATATTTATTGAGCAACAGCCCTGGCCAGTTTGGCTCAGTGGTAGAGCATCGGCCTGCAGGTCCAGAGAGACCCGGGTTCGGTTCCCGCTAAGGGCATGTACCTCGGTTGCAGTTTTTCCCCGGCTCTGGGTGGGTTTTGCGGGTGGCAACCACTTGATGTGTCCCTTTCACATCGATGTTTCTCTCTCTCTCTCTCTCCCTCCCAACTCTATCTGAACAAAAAATGGAAAAATGTCCTCAGGTGAGGATAAAAAAAAAAAGTTGTTTCTTTATTGGGCAACAAGCATTAAAAAATTGTGAACAAGTCCTGGCCGATTTGGCTCAGCCGTTAGAGCATCAGCCTGCGGTCTGGAGAGACCGGGGTTCGGTTCCCGCTAAGGGCATGTACCTCAGTTGCAGTTTGTCCCCGGCCCTGGTTGGTCGTGCGGGTGGCAGCCACTCGATGTGTCCCTTTCACGTCAATGTTTCTCTCTCTCTCTCTCTCTCTCTCTTCCTCTCTCTCCCTCCCACTCTGTACAAAAAATGGAAAAATATCCTCGGGTGAAGATAAAAAAAAAAATTGTGAATGAAGAGTTGAAACAAGTTAAATGGTGTTTGGGGACCAACATCTCTGAAAAAATTAACTCATGGTATAATAAGTTGCATGAAATGTTCCAACTGGAAACTGGAATCTTGTCAACTAGACTGATCCAGCACACAGAGGACACCTATAAAATGTTCTAGAGAAAGTTTAATCAAAGTTTCTAGGGTGAACTATATGAGTGAAATACCGCAGACAATCATTCCCCCCTTTTAAGGCAATCTGTGAACAGGTTTGCCGGGACATCCTTGTGAATAAACAGAGGGTACCCACATGCATTGTATAGGTTTCTTTTGAAGCATCCTATGACTACAGTCCAAAGCTGTGAAAATGCCCTTTTCCAGGGATGGGCTAGAACCTGCTCATACTTTCTCCTGAGAGCGGATTTTCAGGAATATTTGGACCTGGTCACTAAACAACCAGTATTAAAATTTAGGTTATATAAACTTACAATTAAATTAGTTCTATTAAAAACAAAGGTAACCAATACATCTCATGAGTTCTGAATTAGCTTATCACAGTTTGCTATTACCGTGTTTTTAAGTTTTACATCTGTTGTAGCTGGGTAGTGAAACTATCATTTAGTGGTGCCCTTCAATGTGTCTCTTCCCAAGTCCATGTTCAGAGACATTGGAAGTTTGAAATCATCCAAGGTGGGAATATGTGCACCATGAAAATCAATAAATGCTACAAGTCAGGGCTTCCCCCTGCACCCCCATCCCCAAGCTGGTTATTAAACATCTACCCGCTCACATTGCCTTTTCCCTTATATTCCAGAATGCCAAGGAATGACTGTTCTGCTTACCCTTGTCCTCTGCAGACCTGTCTCTGCAGTGAAGTGGCCTCGGTCACCCCAGCCCTTGACGTGGGGTGAGTGTATCATTTCCAGTCTCCCTCCACACTGGAGCTGGGGCACTAGACCAAGGCTCTGTGCTCTGGGCCCTCACTAGCATGCTCTGGTCCTGGATAACCCGTTTCTTCCTTGAAGATTGCTAGAGGAGAATGTCCTTAGAGTCTCGCCGAAGCAGGGCCATCACTTGCTCATTTTAAAGTTCAACTCCTATCCTTGATTTTTCTCTGCAATTCTGAAGAACCATCAGACTTCATTCTCTGCTTCCCTCCAGTGTATTTATTTAAGCCTGAGGTTTGTCTTGAGCTTTCTCCACTCTGGAATATAAGGATATTATACAGAAAGGTGCTTTCAAACCTTAATATGTACATCTTGTTAAAATGCAGATTCTGAATGGTTTTGTGGGTGCAGATACCGCATTTCTAAGAAGCTCCCTGTGATGCCATTCTGTTGGTACAGGATCACAGCTGAAGTAGGAAGAGTATAGAATACGTGTGAACATTAAATTATTGCTTCAAAAGACAAAAGTATGGAAGGAAGAAGAGAGAATCGAGGAGGAAAATGATGGGAGAGAATTAAAATAAAGTCTATTAGGCAATCAAGTATGGAAGAAAAGAGATACCGACTTCATTTTATCAAGGTATTCTCAGTCTAGGAAGTACAATGATGCATCAAATGACAAGTAGGAGTGTAATAAACCTGAGCGACACACCAGTTTCCTATCCCTCAACCCTGGTGGAGAAGGGATCTTTGTGAGTTTGTGGGTCAGGGTGAAGAAGAAAAGAAAACCCTTTCTTGCCATCACCCAAGCCCTCTCTTCCCTCTGTTCTGAGAGAGAGTTACCCTTTCCAGGGTGGCTAATAAAAAGAGCTGAGAGTTCTCCCCCCAGGCATTGGTACATCCAGGCAGGGTCTGTACCACACCAGAAAGGTTTCAAACTTCATATTGAAACCTTTCCAATTTCACTGCAGACTCTGAGCTTTTCTAGGAAATGGGGCATCACACAAAGAAATCCGTTCTGAATCGAACACCAAACTCACTGGGTTTACTGGCATTGTTCCTATGAATAGAAATAGTATATGCTGACCTTTCTTTCCAAACATATCTCCACTGACTAATTATTAGAGTAACAGCTGACATTTTTTGCTGTCTGATAATGTTTAGATAAATGAGCGAAGCTGATGGCTATGTTGGTATTTTATTTTAACAGTCAATTATTGGCTTAAAGCAAGGCTTGGAAAATGATGCCCCGGCCCCAGGCCAAATTCAGCCCGCTGCCTGTCTTCATCTGACACAGGAGTTAAGAATGGACTTTATAATTTTTAAATGGTTGGAAAGGAAAAAAAAAAAAGAACACTATTTAGTGAGTCACATAAATGCTATGAAATTCAAATTTCAGTGCCCACAAATAAAGTTTGATTGGAACACAGACACTTGTTCGTTTACACTTTGTCTAGGGTGGCTTTTGTGCTACAAGAGCAGAGTTGAGCAGCTGTGCCAGAGGCTATCTGGCCCACAGAGGCAAAATATTTATTATCTATTCTTTTACGGCAAACATTTGCTGATCTCTGACTTACAATGATAAAGTAATTCCCACAAGGATATTAAATAACTATGTGGCCTCCTGATGGGCTGAAAGAGCCTATAAAGCTCCCAGAAGGGCAAAAAAGCCTCCTAGGGACTGGCGGCCACACAGGGGGATTGATCTCACTAACTAACTGAACTCCAGGCCTGTAAAATGTTCTAAGTGGCCTCCTTCAGCTGCTGAAACCCTCCAGTGCTTTGCTTGGAGCACCCAGTTCAACAGGCCGGCCATGGCGGGGGGCCAAAACCTCCCCTGCTGCTGTGCGGCTCTGTGCCCGCGTGCGGCTCTGTGCCCGCGTGCGGCTGTGTGCCCGCGTGCGGCTCTGTGCCCCGGGTGCGGCTGTGTGCCCCGCGTGCAGCTCTGTGCCCCGGTGCGGCTCTGGGCCCGCGTGCGGCTGTGTGCCCCGGGTGCGGCTGTGTGCCCCGGGTGCGGCTGTGTGCCCCGGTGCGGCTGTGTGCCCGCGTGCGGCTCTGTGCCCCGGGTGCGGCTGTGTGCCCCGCGTGCAGCTCTGTGCCCCGGTGCGGCTCTGGGCCCGCGTGCGGCTCTGTGCCCCGGGTGCGGCTGTGTGCCCCGCGTGCAGCTCTGTGCCCCGGTGCGGCTCTGGGCCCGCGTGCGGCTGTGTGCCCCGGGTGCGGCTGTGTGCCCCGGGTGCGGCTGTGTGCCCCGGTGCGGCTGTGTGCCCGCGTGCGGCTCTGTGCCCCGGGTGCGGCTGTGTGCCCCGCGTGC